CCCCTGGCCAGACTTATCAAAAAGAAAAGAGAAAAGACCCAAATAAATAAAATCATGAATGAAAGAGGAGAGATCACAACTAACACCAAAGAAATACAGACAATTATAAGAACATACTATGAGCAACTCTACGCCAACAAATTTGACAATCTGGAAGAAATAGATGCATTCCTAGAGACATATAAACTACCACAACTGAACCAGGAAGAAAAAGAAAGCCTGAACAGACCCATAACCAGTAAGGAGATTGAAACAGTCATCAAAAATCTCCAAACAAACAAAAGCCCAGGGCCAGACGGCTTCCCGGGGGAGTTCTACCAAACATTTAAAGAAGAACTAATTCCTCTTCTCCTGAAACTGTTCCAAAAAATAGAAATGGAAGGAAAACTTCCAAACTCATTTTATGAGGCCAGCATCACCTTGATCCCAAAACCAGACAAGGATCCCATCAAAAAAGAGAACTACAGACCAATATCCTTGATGAACACAGATGCAAAAATTCTCACCAAAATACTAGCCAATAGGATTCAACAGTACATTAAAAGGATTATTCACCACGACCAAGTGGGATTTATTCCAGGGCTGCAAGGTTGGTTCAACATCCGCAAATCAATCAATGTGATACAACACATTAATAAAGGAAAGAACAAGAACCATATGATAATCTCCATAGATGCTGAAAAAGCATTTGACAAAGTACAGCATCCCTTCCTGATCAAAACTCTTCAAAGTGTAGGGATAGAGGGCACATACCTCAATATTATCAAAGCCATCTATGAAAAACCCACTGCAAATATCATTCTCAATGGAGAAAAACTGAAAGCTTTTCCGCTAAGGTCAGGAACACGGCAGGGATGTCCGTTATCACCACTGCTATTCAACATAGTACTAGAAGTCCTAGCCTCAGCAATCAGACAACAAAAGGAAATTAAAGGCATCCAAATCGGCAAAGAAGAAGTCAAACTATCACTCTTCGCAGATGATATGATACTATATGTGGAAAACCCAAAAGACTCCACTCCAAAACTGCTAGAACTTGTACAGGAATTCAGTAAAGTGTCAGGATATAAAACCAATGCACAGAAATCAGTTGCATTTCTCTACACCAACAACAACAAGACAGAAGAAAGAGAAATTAAGGAGTCCATTCCATTTACAATTGCACCCAAAACTATAAGATACCTAGGAATAAACCTAACCAAAGAGACTAAGAATCTATACACAGAAAACTATAAAGTACTCATGAAAGAAATTGAGGAAGACACAAAGAAATGGAAAAATGTTCCATGCTCCTGGATTGGAAGAATAAATATTGTGAAAATGTCTATGCTACCTAAAGCAATCTACACATTTAATGCAATTCCTATCAAAGTACTATCTATTTTTTTCAAAGAAATGGAACAAATAATCCTAAAATTTATATAGAACCAGAAAAGACCTCGAATAGCCAAAGGAATATTGAAAAAGAAAGCCAAAGTCGGTGGCATCACAATTCCGGACTTCAAGCTCTATTACAAAGCTGTCATCATCAAGACAGCATGGTACTGGCACAAAAACAGACACATAGATCAATGGAACAGAATAGAGAGCCCAGAAATAGACCCTCAACTCTATTGTCAACTAATCTTCGACAAAGCAGGAAAGAATGTCCAGTGGAAAAAAGACAGCCTCTTCAATAAATGGTGTTGGGAAAATTGGACAGCCACATGCAGAAAAATGAAATTGGATCATTTCCTTACACCACACATGAAAATAGACTCAAAATGGATGAAGGACCTCAATGTGAGAAAGGAATCCATCAAAATCCTTGAGGAGAACACAGGCAGCAACCTCTTCGACCTCAGCCACGGCAACATCTTCCTAGGAAAATTGCCAAAGGCAAGGGAAGCAAGGGCAAAAATGAAGTATTGGGATTTTATCAAGATCAAAAGCTTTTGCACAGCAAAGGAAACAGTTAACAAAACCAAAAGACAACTGACAGAATGGGAGAAGATATTTGCAAACGACATATCAGATAAAGGGCTAGTGTCCAGAATCTATAAAGAACTTAGCAAACTCAACACCCAAAGAACAAATAATCCCATCAAGAAATGGGCAGAAGACATGAACAGACATTTCTGCAAAGAAGACATCCAGATGGCCAACAGACACATGAAAAAGTGCTCCATATCACTCGGCATCAGGGAAATACAAATCAAAAACACCATGAGATATCACCTCACACCAGTCAGAATGGCTAAAATTAACAAGTCCGGAAATGACAGATGCTGGCGAGGATGCGGAGAAAGGGGAACCCTCCTACACTGTTGGTGGGAATGCAAGCTGGTGCAACCACTCTGGAAAACAGCATGGAGGTTCCTCAAAATGTTGAAAATAGAACTACCCTATGACCCAGCAATTGCACTGCTGGGTATTTACCCTAAAGATACAAACGTAGTGATCCGAAGGGGCACGTGCACCCGAATGTTTATAGCAGCAATGTCTACAATAGCCAAACTATGGAAAGAACCTAGATGTCCATCAACAGACGAATGGATAAAGAAGATGTGGTATATATACACAATGGAATACTATGCAGCCATCAAAAGAAATGAAATCTTGCCATTTGCGACAACGTGGATGGAACTAGAGGGTATCATGCTTAGCGAAATAAGTCAATCGGAGAAAGACAACTATCATATGATCTCCCTGACATGAGGGAGAGGAGATGCAACATGGGGGGTTAAGGGGGTAGGAGAAGAGTAGATGAAACAAGATGGGATTGGGAGGGAGACAAACCATAAGTGACTCTTAATCTCACAAAACAAACTGAGGGTTGATGGGGGGAAGGGAGTTGGGAGAGGGGGTGTGGGGTTATGGACACTGGGGAGGGTACGTGCTATGGTGAGTGCTGTGAAGTGTGTAAACCTGGCGATTCACAGACCTGTACCCCTGGGGATAAAAATATATGTTTATAAAAAAATAAAATTTAAAAAACAACAACAAAAAAAGATTTTTATCTTAACCCCAATTATTTCAGATGGTAAAATGAATTAGTTTTCTCATCTATGCAATATGTGAACTGTTTTAGGTAGTCTCTACTACCATCTCTTGAGTTCTAGGATTTCCTTTCCTCATCGTGTATCTTTTTCCTAAACTGTAAGTACCCAGAGAGTGACAATTATTAAATCAGTTAAAATTTATGTCTGTCTATTTTTCTTAGGAAACAAATCACCTTGTAAGGAAACATGGTCTGTTGAGTAGAAAAGACACAAGAAGGAAAAACAGGTAAGGAGGGGTGAAGGATTGAAGAGATGACAGACAAACTTAGCTGGAACAATGAAGAGCTTACCCCCAAATGGATAAAGAAACACAACATAATAAAGGTCTCCGTGCATTGTACTGAAGATAAAAGGAGTAGAAACCATGTACCTTAGGTCTATGACTAAAAGAAACCACACTACTACTACTTTCTATTCTACTTTCCAAGATGACATTTGATATTTGAATTCCACTTGGCAAAAAATGAACAAACAAGCAAACAAAAAGATTAGTTCCTTCCAGCTAGTTCTGAGAAATGGACTCATTACACCTTGCCTCCTTGGCAGGAAGAAACACCCAAATACAGACAGTCCTCCTTCTCGAGGGAGAGTCTTGTATTTAATGGCAAGGAACACCTTTTCTAGATTTCTGTCTTTGCTCCATGTGTTTTCCATTGTTTGGGTATATATCAACTTGAAGTATAAGGTCTTCTTTTCTCTTTATTTAGACTAAACTTGTCACCAGTCTTGATGCTAATTAGGATGCAGTGGGAAGACTGACTTCCCACTAAAGTGGAGTGGAATTCCATGAAGAAAGAAAAGGGATCATAAAGACATCTGATAAAACCAAACACCTCTCTATTCAATTTTACAAACTTGTGAATTATTATGTTTTGCTTGTGTTTGTGGAGTTGCCTCTTTCAATGTGTTTTCAATAGACGACAAGGCACCAAAAACCATGGGTAAATAATAGAAGTTAAAAATAGTTACTACCTAACAATGTTACTGGAACAATTAGAGTGTAGAAAACTCTCTCATATGAGAAGCCAACTAAAAACAAAGGTTGGCATGATGCTGGTTCTTTGGTTCTTTTCAAAATTAATAAAACACACTTGCTCTAAACTCATCTCTCTCAGTTAAAACTATTTGGGTTGTTTTGATTTGTTTCCAACCCCCACTAAAATACACAATAACGGATCCTTTGTGCAATTCGGCTTTTTTCCTTCTTCTTTTTTATATATATCCAGAGTACCAGCATACATTTGTATGCATGGGCTATACATATGCCTTATTTTCACACTCAGAGAACATGGGAATTATTTTTGAAGAAAGCCTCTTTCCAGCCAGATTCCATTAGGTCACATTATTCAAATGCAGTATAACATAAAATTCATTTGTTTTCATCTGGTGTCTAGCTGTTAAGGAACAGAGCCAAAACTTTAACCTTTGCAACACAACAGAAGAGGAGTAGAGAACCTGAGCATTGTCTATGGGCATGTACAGAGCTTCTGAGCAAGGGGAACTACACTTTTATATTCAAACCTAGAAGATTATAGCATATATTAGGAAAGAGCTATTTTTTACCATATGTACAATGGAATAAAAACAGTGACTTCCATTCTCTTTTTGAAAAGCCCAGGAGCTTTTCTAGACTCATGACCTCTGAAGTCATTTAACATATTTTAAACAGAAGTCCTATCACTTCTGCCTTTAAATAGCAAAACGGGACTCCTGAAAAACATAAAGGTTCTGAAATGCCCCATCGAGTCTACCAAAAGAAACAATTTAACTTTGTTTTTCTTAAGGGCAAACATCCTTACAGAGAGATGAATCTGACAAAGCAATAAACACAATCTGAATTATTTTCAAAAAGCCTTACCTAAGTTTATTAGACACATGTAAAAGGTACTATCTATTTTAAAGACCTAAAAGAGATTATTATGTCTTAGCATTTCATAAATTTCTAAAAGATATACTCACATTTTGCTGTCACTTTGTACCCCCCCAGAGGAGGGGCATGGCCTTCTAATGCATCAAATCCAGCGGAAACTAGGACCATGTCTGGATCAAACTCTTTGGCCACAGGCGTCACTACAGTCCTGCACAGTAAAAAGGCAACCAGTTACACATGGGAATGGCGAATACCTTTAAAAATTGTGCAATGAAAATGACTTGGCACATCCTCAAGAAGTTCCCAAGAATAAAGAAAAGGGAAAAAGAAAATACTATTTGAATGGATCAAAAACTTATCATTTCCTTACTAGTGAATCACTGTTATTTTAGCATCCCAATTCAGTCTTTTTTCTTTCATCTTTTTTCTCTCTAAATTAAAAAAAAAAAAAATGTTTTGCAGGTACATTCTAAGGCCATCACATTACATGCACATCTGTGGCTGTTTTACCCCACTGCCTATAAAAAAGTGCTTCTTCCAAGGGAGTGACTAATGTTTTACAGAGGAAAGTCAAAGCTTTAGTGAAAACCCGGCTTGCTCCAGTTAGTGAGAACTTGGTGTAAATTTGAACTATAAATTTCTTTTGAGAAAAAGTTGCTTTTTCCAACTTAAAAAAATTTTTTTTTAAATATTTGTCATGGTAGGGGGTAACTCTTGCAAAGGAAAAATGCGAAATTCCTTTAATAAAATCCAGATTATAATGTTAAGTGAGTCCAAGGTCAGAGACACCAGGAATGTGTTAGTCTCATCCATGACAGCGACCCCTGCTGGCCCTATTTAGACACTTCAGCATCTATGTCTTCAGCCTTCTCAGACCACCCTGCCCCCTTTTTCCTTAGTGCTGGATTTGAGAGAAAATGACTAATGGATGCTACTGGGCTTTGTAAAATTAAAAAATTAATGTAGGCTTCAAGACCAACTGCCATTATTATTAAGACTCAGATTTCCAAAGACTATTTAATAAGAGCGGGGAAGTGCCCACAACAGCAGATTTAAAAAGTGGTAAGGCCTCTGCTGCGTGTTTAGGAGAAATAACCGAACTAAATATTAAAATTGCTATCCTTAAGTAGTGACAAAATTGAGTTCTTTTCATTATTTTATGTTTGCAGATTTCTCAGATTTTTAAAGTGACCGCATATTAGTTTTACACTTAAAAATTTAACAAGAAGTTGTTGAAATTATAAAACAAAAAATACTTATTTGAAATTCATAAATGAATGAAAAGATAGTTCTCAGTTTAGTTTTTTGAAGATTCTCCATACTGTTTTCCATTGTGGCTAGACCCAATAGACAATTCTACCAACAGTACATAAAGTTTCCGTTTTCTCCACCCCCATGCCAACATTTGTCGTCTCTTATATTTTTTATGATGGCCATCTAACAGACCTCAGGTAATATCTCATCATGGTGTTAATTTGCATGTCCCTAATCATTAGTGATCTTGAGCATCATTTCATGTACCTGTTGGTCTTATGTATATCTTCTCTGGAAAATGTCTATTCAGATCCTTTGGTTCATTTTTAAAAATTGGGTTGTGTTGTTTCTATTGAGTTGTATGAGTTCTTTATATGTTTTGGATATTAACCTCTTATCAGATATACAATTTGCAACTTTTTTTTTCCCATTCCATGGGTTGTTTTTTCACTTTGTTGATGGTTCCTTTGCTGAGCAGCATCTTTTTTAGCCTGACATAGTCACACTTCCTTACTTTTTATTTTGTTTCTTGCACTATAGATATCATATCCAAGTAATTATTACCAGAGCCCATGTTAAGAAGCTTTATTCCTATGTTTTCTTCTAAGGGTTTCATGTTTTCAGGAGTTACATTTAAGTGTTTAATCCATTTCAAGTTAATTTTTGTAAATAGTATAAGATATAGGTTCACACATTATTTTATGTGTGAATTTCCAATTATCACAGCACCATTTATTGAAGAGACTGTCCTTTCTTCACTGAGTATTCTTGGCTTCCGTCTCAAATATTAGTTAACTGTATATGCTTGGGCTTATTTCTGGGCTCTGCATTCTGTCCCATTGTTCTATTTTTCTGTGTGTGCATGTGTGTGTGTGTGTGTGTGCATGCGTGCTAGTACCATACTGTTTCGATGAACATAGCTTTATAGTATAGCTTGAAATCAGGAAGTGTGATGCTTCCCACTTTGTTCTTTCTCAAGGTTTCTTTGACTATTTGGGGTCTTTTGTGGTTCTATATACATTTTAGGAGTGTTTTTTCTATCTCTAACAATTGCCATTGGAATCTTGATAAGGATTGCAGTGAATCTATATATGGTATTTTATTATTTTTCACACTATTATAAATGGGATTATTTCTTTTTCAGAAAATTCATTGTTAGTGTATAGAATATGCTACTGATTTTTGTATAGTTAATTTTGTATCTTGCAACTTTACTGAATTCACTCATTAGATCTTTAAAAAAAACTATTTATTTGACGGAGAGAGTACAAGCACATGGAGCAGGAGGCAGAAGGAGAGGGAGAAGCAGACTCATTGCTAAGCAGGGAGCTTGCTGTGGGGCTAAATGTGGGGTTCGATCCCAGGACCCGAGGATCATGACCTGAGCTGAAGGCAGACGCTAAATCGACTGAGTCACCCAGGCGCCCCTGTGATGTCAGTTTTTACATCTCCTTTTGCACTTATAATTTTGTTGATTTGGGTCTTTTCTCTTTTTTCCTTGGTCTAGATACTGTGTTTGTCAATTTTATTTATATCTTTCTGAAGGAGCAACTCTTACTTTGGTTAATCTTTTCTATTATTTTTTTCTGTTCTCTATTTCATTTATTTCTTCTCCAATCTTCATTATTTCTTCCATTCTGCTAATTTTCGACCAAGTTTGTTCTTTTTATAGTTCCTTAAGTTATAGAGTTAGGTTGTTTATTTGGTATCTTTCTTGGTTCTTAATGCAGATGTTTATTATTTATTATTTATTTCCTTTAGAACTGCTTGTGCTGCATCCTGCGGAGCATGATATATTGTTTCCATTTTCATTTATCTGAAGAAAACTTTTTATTTCCCCCATTAATTTCTTCTTTGATTCACTCATTTTTCAGGACAGTGTTGTTTAATTTCCATGTGTTCATGAATTTTCCAGGTTTCTTCTTATGATTAATTTCTAGTTTCATGCCATTGAGGTCAAAGAAGATAATTGGTATGACTTTAATCTTCTTGAATTTGCTGACTTATATGTGGTCTAATGTATGGTCTATCCTGGAAAATGTTCCATGTGCACTTGAGAAGAATGCGTATTCTGTTGTTGTTGGATAGAATGTTCTATATCCATCTGTTACATCCATTTGGTCTATAGCATTGTTCAAGTCTGTTCTTTGCCTATTGATTCTGTCTGCAAGATCTACCTATTTTTAAAAGTGGGGTATTTAAAGTCCTCAACTATTATTGAATTACCATTTATTTCTCCTTTTAGCTCTGTTAGTTTTTGCTTTATATATTTAGGTAATCTAAGGATGGACACATAAGGATTTATAATTATTTTATCCTCTTGATTTATTGACCACCTTATCATTATATAGTGACCTTCTTTGTCTCCTTTTTGCCATTTTCAGTTTAAAGTCTATTTTGTCTGATATAACTACTCCTGCTTTTTTATGGTTACCATTTGCTTAAAATTTTTCTTTCCATTATTTCACTCTCAGTCTATGTGTCTTTAAAGGTAAAGTGAATCTCTGTTAGGCAGAATATTGTTGGTTCCTTTCTTTTTCTTTTTTTTTCATTTAGCCAATCTATGTATTTTAATTAGATAACTTAATCCATTATATTTATTTTTTAAAATAAAAACATTAATTGAAGTATAGTTGACATAGAATATTAAATTAGTTTTAAGTGTATAACAGTTGATTCAACAATTACATACATTAGGAAATGTTCATCACAATAAATGTATTACAATATTATTGACTATATATCCTATGGTGTGCTTTTCATCACCATGGCTTTTTTATTTTAAAACTGGGAGTCTGTATCTCTTAATCTCCTTCACATATTTCATCCATGTTTAAAGTAATTATTGATAAGGCATACTATTGCCATTTTGTTCTATTTTCTGGTTGTTTTGTAGATCCACTGTTCCTTGTTTCTTATCCTGCTGTTTTTTTTTGTGTGTTTTGATGTTTTGGAATCAGTATGCTTTGACTTCTTTATTGTGTTCTTTTGTGCAATTACTATAGTATTTTCCCCTGTAGTTACTATGAGGCTTACAGAAAATATCTTAAACTTCTAACATTTTATTTTAAATCAATAATAATGTCAATAGATTTCATAAAATTAACACTTTTATTTCTCTTCCCCCTCAATTTCAGGTTATTGATGTTACAACTGACTTTTTAAAATATATTGTGTAACTAGTAACAGAGTATTATAGGTTTGGCTATTTTTATTATGTTCTTTTTTTAACTTTTAAGCTAGAGTTGTGAGTTATGTGCCAGTATTAACATATTGCAGAATCTAACTTTGGCTATATATTTACCATTACCAATGAGGTAAAATTACCTTTTAATTTTTTTAGGTTGTCAATTGTTCTTTTACTCCCACTCAAAGAACGCCCAGCATTTCTTATAAGGCAGGTCTGGTGGTAATGAACTCTGTCAGCTTTTGTTTGTTCAGAAACATCTTTATCTCTCCTTTGTTTCTGAATGACAGCTTCACCACGTACAGAATTCCTGGCTGACAGATATTTTCTTTCAATATTTGAATATACTGTCCCATTCTCTTCTGGCTTGAAAAGTTTCTCTTGAAAAATCTGCTGATAGTCTTACTGGGGTTCTCTTTTATGGAACGTCACTTCTCTTGCTGTTCTTAAAACTCTTTGTTTTTGACTTTTGACAGCTTACTTACAATATATTTCAGTTTATCCCTATTTGCGTTCAACCAATTTGGGGTCCTTTGGGCCTCATGAATCTGGATGTCTACTTCTTTCCCCAGGTTTGGAACATTTTCAGTCTTTATTGTTTTAAATTATATGTTCTGTCCCCTTTACCTTCTCTTCTCTTTCTAGAATTCCCATAATGTGAACATTGTTTCTTTTCATTGTGCCCCATAATTCTTATTGGCTTTTTTCTTTTGTTTTTTTTCCACTCTTTTTGCACCTCTAGGTAATTTCCAATATCCTATTTGTTA